AATTTTTTGTATTCTTAGTAGAGATGGGGTTTTCCCATGTTGCCCAGGCTGGTCTCGACTCCTGAAATCAAGTGATCCACCTGCCTTGGCCTCTGCCTCCCAAAGTGCTTAGATTACAGGTGTGAACTACTGCACCCAGCCTCTTTCAGGACAACTTTATGTGCAGTCTACTGGCATGCCTAAGTGAAAATAAACTGAATGACTGAAAATGTTGGTATCTTGACCCTTATACATTCAAAAGGCAGAGAAAGCATTTTGGATGGGACAGATGGCAATTGAAAATAAGCTTGCTTACCTTGTGAGAGTCTTTCCCCCTGGGGAGTCGTAAGTTGTGGCTTCTGGGCCACTGCATTCCAACGCTGAGGCTTCCCTGGCAACACCCCTAGTCCAAGGTAACCAGGATAGAGCTCTGGAAACCACTCCAGTCCCACACAGCTGAGAAGGGTCTTCCTGCCAGCAGCTGCAGCATGATTGGTGAAGGGGCTCTGAGGAGTGTGATGCTGGGCTGAACATAAAGGACTCTGGCACCTAGTGTGTGATGCTTGGAACTGACTATCAGATTTGGGCTCCAGAGACACCTGTCCCTCGGGACTCTCCGTTAATGCCTTTACATCAGGGACACGATTATGATTCCAGGCTTCTGCTTTCTTTTCTGGAAGAAATTTTGTAGCTAGAGAAGCAAGACTTTGACTACTTGACTGCGATACAGAATGAAACTCATAAGTTGTCTCCCTTGGAATGAACAAACTTAAATGTGGTCCTTCTCCTTGAGACTTCTTTTCTGTGACTGAATCATTGGTGTTGAAGTTCTCACAGCCATGGCTCATGACAGTCCGTTCCTGCTTTTCTGTTGCAGACACACTTTTCTCTGCATTTCCTTTGCTCCCACACGTCTCTACTCCAAGAGTAAGTCCTTTCTCTTGTTTCTCCGTGACTTGGATTTTACCCAATGAGCTCATTTTAAGGCTTAAAATGAGTGATTCTGTGTTCTTTTCTGGAGTCTCAGTAACTGTAACATCAGTAGGGACTCCTGAGAGGTGATCCCTGCCTTTGGAATCTCTCTCATTGCTTAATAATGATATTCTTACCCTTTTAACCTCATCACTGACATTCTTTGGAGAAATATGACAATCACCAGTAGGCACGTCTAGTAATTTTACTAGAAGTTCCTGTCTTTGGGGATCAATTTTGTCCAATTTCAGATCACCAGAGGTAGTCTGTACATCATTAGGTACAGTTGAGGAATATTTTCTATCTTGATTTGACAAAGAAGGTTCTATTGAGCCAACCAGTAAAGACGCTCCAGCTTCTGAAAGATTACATTGACTTTCTCCGAATTTAGACAAATCTTTGGCAAGTTCTCTTTTAGGAGAGGTTTTCTCTGATGCATAAAACTGAGCCTTGGTTTCTTCTTGGAAAGTAGTCTTTGGCTTAGTATTTTTTAACATTTTGAAGGATGGTTGGATTGGATTCTTGATGTCTTTATCTGCCTTTGTAGTAGTTGCTCTTTCCAAACCAACAGCTGGTAGTGGAAAGGTCTTCACTGTCTGTTCTGGTTTGTCCATCATCAACTTAGAATTTCTTTCTTCATTCTCTGTCTCTAACTCTTTCCCTTTAGCTTTAATTAAATCTTTGATTGGCCCTTTCATTTTTTTAGCACGTGGGAGTGTAGCTGGCTTGGACTGATGAACTTTTTGATCAGTAGGTATGGTTGATCCTATCATCTTACAGTATGGCAAGTGGGATTTTAATCGTTTAAATGGCTTCTTACAATAAGGACACACTTCCATTCTGGGTGGATTATCACTCATCCTATTCCTGAAAAATGTAAATGTGAGATTATGAGATGCACATAGTTTGTAAACATCAATAGTTTACTTATGTGTTGTATCTTTTAAATTCATTTGGAACAAGCTAGATGTTTGCTACTTAAGGTTACAGCAAGTCAACTAGTCATTACATGAGGATAAAAAATTGTTTAAAAACCCATAAACATGTTATTCAAGGACAGAATGGTAAAGAATAAAAACCTTAGGCCAGGAACCAAAGGTTATTTATTTATTTATTTTGGAGACAGAGTCTCGTTCTGTCACCCAGACTGGAGTGCAGTGGCACAATATCTGCTCACTGCAAACTCTGCCTCCCAGCATCAAGCAATTCTCTTATCTCAGCCTCCCAAGTAGTTGGGACTACAGGGGCATGCTACCACGCCTGGCTAATTTTTTGTATTTTAGTAAAGACGGGGTTTCACTGTGTCCGTGTTGCCCAGACTGGTCTTGAACTCCTGAGTTCTGGCAATCCACCCGCCTTGGCCTCCTAAAGTGCTGGGATTACATGCGTAAGCTACCATGCCTGCGCCCAGCCAAAGGTTACTGATTACAGCACAGGTTTCCAAAGTGATATATGGAATATCCACTAGGGTGTAAGAAGAAAATATTAGAAAATATTAGAATTCCCACAATCTAAGAATGAGAAATGAAGCTCTACTAACATTTAGTAATATGCATATATATACACACACATGGATATATATAAAATGTATGTATAATGCACAAATATATACATGGTAAGAACATAGCCCTATTTTTC